TATAGATCTACTCATCAGGGTTTGATGCAATGATTAAAATATGTTTTAGTGAATTTGTATGTAGTTTTAAGCTTTTGTGAACATCAGTTCATCTGTGACACAGGATAAACGGATGTCATAAATTGCATTGGCGATTAAAGGGGCGATTGAGTCTTGCTCAAGCCTTACTGACATGTAAGCAGAAGAGAAAATTATCGACATCGAAAAACATTTTGTATCTGCTGAAACTGCACAAACTGAACCCAAAACAAAGCTTTTTTCTGAAAATATGTGGGTGAGGTCAAACACAGAAGCTTGAGTAGCAGAGACACTAACAGGTGTTTGTTTTTGTACAAACACCAGAGAACTGCAAGCAAAGCAATTTCAGAATGTAACGGTTGATGGGTTGCAAATTTCACATGTGGAAAAAAACTGCTTAAAGGAACTTGAACTGATAACAATGAGGCTTTACAATGAAGTTCAATTTGGTAACGCAAGTGTATGTGTGTATGATCTAATAATGGTCAACAATGTTTCATCATTAATGCAGGGTAATTTTTAAATATAACTGTTGTTAATATAAATATACTACATGTATAAATCAATATTAATCTACATTATTAAATACTGTAAAAGTTTTTTTTTTCATTGTTACTTCATGATTCCTAATGTATTACCTAACATTACACCTGAACCTTATTGTGAAGTGTTTCCCTGCATAACTGTGTGTTAATCAGAGATGCAAATGCACACTCAGCTCTGTGCTCTGCTGTGATCTGATTAAACCATGCAGGGCTTTAGACCAAAAAAAAAAAAAATCAATTAAGGAGCAATTGGCCAAATAATTTTAAGTGCCACAGAATAATCATGTTTTAACACTTTAACATTTCAGTCATACTGTCATGTTTATGTCTCCCTTCCTTTTACAGTATCAGCATTTTAATCCATCTTGTAGATATCCTGGGAACGAAGGTTCACTTAAAGGGGTCATATGATGCGATTTCAATTTTTCCTTTCTCTTTTTCAGAACGATGAGCTTTGTAAAAATCGACGCGTTTCAAAAAGGCGGGGCATAGAGGAGAAACAATAATGTACAGTATGTGGAAAATAACGTGTTTTTTTTACTTTAAATCACAAACACATTTCATTACACCAAATACACAAAATAATGTTCTTTTTAGCAGCATCATATGACCCCTTTAAAGTGGGAACTAAATGTCTTTTTGCGCTTATAAACACTACTTTAAGACCTGTTCACACCAAGGACGATAACTATAAAGATAACAGTAAAGATATAGTTCTAAAAATCATTCTCAATATTAAAGAATGGTAGAGTCCACACCACAGCTATAACGATAAAGGCAAAGAGAAACAATATCGTTGGAATCATTTTCAGAAAGATTTTTTCCAGCTGATGAACGATAAAAACACTGACAGCCAATCAGAATCAATCCTGCTATCACAAGCTCGAGAGTTTAAAGTGACAGACGAGTGTGCACTTGGAATAAACAGACGATATCGTCCATAGTTATCTTTATATTTATCTTTCTTGGTGTGAACGGGCCTTAAATATGCATTATACGGAGGCAAGATGAAAAGAAAATACCATCTAAACTTTTCTGACGAGTCAGTTCGCCTCAGAGATACATTCATATAAACCCCCACCCACAATTCAGTATTTAGGATTTTCATCCAATATTTTGTGCATCGTGAACAGTGAGCTTGCTCTGCCTGCTACAGTATTTTCTGCTCTTTGCATTGCGACCTCTGCCAGGTATGAGACGTAATTCTCATTATTCAGAAGAAAAAAATAAAAAATAAAAAATACAAAAAATAAAAAAAAATAAAAAAAAACTCACCTGCATGCAGACTAGTAATCCTGAATTCACTGATTAGGTGTGTTTGATTATGGTTGGAGCTAAATTCTGCAGGACAGTGGCACTCCAGGACCAATGTTGCCAATGCCTGATATAGATTAAGATCCTAATATAACGTATATATATTTATATATTTATATATATATGAAGAGTTCGATAAATGTTCGATATAATGTTTATGCGCCAAAAGCGGAACAAAACAACGCGACTCATTTGAAGCTCCACACGGACCGTTTATCCCCTCGGATCAAAGTTCAAACTGCCGCGCGGCAAGCTCACTAGAGCAGATGCGTTTACTCGGTCACCCGAGCACTAAACAGTGCTGTGAGATCCAGTGTGAAGCGCTTGTATTCAGCGATGAACACAAATGACATATTCACACTGAATTTTAATACAGGAGTAATGGTAATTATAGTATATATTTGTGATTAAGCTATAGCATGTGTGCATTTATACTGAATGTTTTTAGACTACTATTTTTCATACAAATAGGCTACCTAAAAAACATTATATTTATGGTATTGAGGTTATATATGTGTGGATTTAACAGTGTTTATCATGATTTAAATGTATGCTACTATGGGAGACCAATGCTTAATTAAAAAAAAAAAAAAACCTTGGTCAGAATCAATTTAACCATATAAAACTTTTGTAGCAAAAGGTTGCTACAAATTCTTGATTTGAAACAATATCACTCATTAGAACATGCAGAAACTAATAATAAAGTAAAGTAAATAATAATTTTTCTATTTAGATGTTTATTTTGTTAAGGAAAATTAATAGTCTGGTTTCTACAACTTTCACTTTGGAGCAAAAATCTGGCTTTAAACTTGAAAGAAATAAAGATTTGAGATATAAAGATATAAATAAAGATAATTATCGATATCGACTGATATGAAAAACATTATCGTGATAATTTTTTTGGCCATATCGCCCTGCCCTGTGTGTGTGTGTGTGTGTGTGTGTGTATATATATATATATATATATATATATATCACTATTTCTCCAAATATGCAAACTCTAAGCCCAAATGGACACTGTTAAGTGCAGCTATGTGAACTCGAATAAACCGCAGCAGATGTGACTGAATATTAATGTGTTGTTATTCTATTCAAAATATCATACATTACCGATTGATCCTGACATAAATGAAATTACTGTCACTGCAGCTGAGCTTTATCATAAACTGTGGTCAAATGTTGATGCTGGAGTCTTTAATCTTTCTAACGATTGTCCAGATCAAGTAAGAGTGTGTGAATGTGAAACAACAATAATCTGAGGCCGCCAGCGATGTTTGCAGGTTAAGTTAACGGTTAACTCTCAATTCACGACACTGTCTACGTTGCTTAGGCACTTGTACTGGTTTAAAAATTCATACCGGTTGCGTAATTCAAACTGGTTTACTGTTTTAACCGGTATATCGCCCAGCATTAGGCCTATGCAATATAATGCATATATTTAGCAAAATGCTCCTCTTTATAGTTATTTTTTCTAGCTAACTATTGATCTTATGGACGCCAAATGATTATTCTGATGTAAATGTATTGTTATGTGGCATTGTTACAAGCTTTACATATTTTCCGCAGTTTGAAACACTGAATGAGCCATTACATGAGACATTTCAGTAAGTTGAACTGTATTTCATAATATACCTTTTGATGTCCATTCACGTTTATTTCGTACTATAGTAGTAAAGAGAACGATATGATGGGTTCATGTGCCGCTTGAAATGAGGCGCTAAAGAGCGCCAAAACGGTATTTATTGTTTTAATTTCGTTATGAATTTGGCAGAATTTTAAAGCTGATACTTTGTTTATAAAAGGTAACAAAGCACAAAGCTTATTGTGATTATTGGACGGCAAGTGCGCTACATATAATAGTTCACGCATTAACAACACAGCATATAGACTAAAAATCCTGATAACAAGAAGCCATATAAGTATCGATTATAAACGAGAATTGTTAACGATACTGTCTATGTCCACATAGCTGACAGATTTACCTGTTGTAGTTTGTTCAAGTTGTACACGAAACAGACACTGCTTTTCTGCACTTGTACTTTGCACGTCTCCGTCATTTTCAATCTCTTTAATGTTGCCACAACTGGAGCTGCTTTTAGCTGGTGTTCGGCAGAGATGAGGACTGTTTTTCCACTAAAACTTTGATGCACATCATCTCAGTTTATTACGTCAACATAACAAAAGATGTGATCCCAAAACAAGCAGGAAAAAAAGCATTACATGCAAATTTTTAAATCATAACATGTAAATTTATATAGTCTCCAGTGGTGATCTTAGCAAAAATTTAACTCGTAAATTAAGATTTTTGGTCGCAAATGCGACCGTTTTAGGCACAGTCTGGAGCCCTGCCGTGACACCTTAAATTTGCAAAACCTGAGGTGAAACATTGCCTTTCCTCTTTAAATGATTACCACTGATTTTGACTGATTACTGATTTTGAATTTTCAATGATGACAATAAACTACACTACTAAAAATAAAATAAACTACTAAAATAAGAAAACCCAATATCTATATCTAATATATATATTTAAGATCTAATATGATTAGGGATGCACCGATACTGAACTACTGTACTCGTACTCGTTAAAATGCCCCGATACCAAACGCCGATACCACACAGCACGTGATAAGCGCCATATTCAGACAAAGAAACACCGACAACAGAACAACAGACAGCAGAATGGAGTTAAGGATGTTTACTACGAAGTATATGTATGCAATGAATATAACGTTAAACATTCAGTATTAACGCCTGTATAGCTGATGTGCGCGAGCTGATAAACAAAGCACGCTGAGTGGATTGAGCGCGCGGCGGCGCAGATGCGCGAGCTTGTCGAGTGAATATATCTTTCTCATCGGTATCGGCAAGTACCAAAAATAAAAGTATCGGTATCGGGCGAGTACTGGAAAAAGTGGTAACGGTGCATCCCTAAATATGATCAAACAAAGGGTTTTAACCCAACCTAAAAACCACAAATTTTCCACTTTAAACTTATTTAAAAAGAACAGTAACCTGGAATTTACACTGTATTTTTATGTTTATGGGCTGATTTCCAGAGTCCAATTATGTGGGACACATAAGATGTATGTTTGCATGTATTGAGGTATTTAACTCAATTACCTTCGAGTGATGGGGCCTGATCCTGGGCGGAGTACAACCTTTCTTTAAAAGCCTGTGGAGAAGAGAAGAACATGAAACACAATTTCCAGAGGTCAGACATTTGGCTTTCATATTACACAGCAGCATGTGACTGGCACTGTGCCCGTTCTGACTGACAATGGAAGCCCTGCCAAGATACAGACGGAGTGAGACAGAAAGACATGAGTTTTTGAGTACAGAAGAGGAAGTACTAAAAGAAATATAGAGGAAATGGCTGTTTTTAACTTTGTCAAAAATCTAGAATTGGATATCCCCTCTGTAAGAAACAGATCGTGTCCTTGAATCTGAAAAACAAGGACAAAGCATTGTTTACAATAGATACAAGCGTAGGAGACACTGCAGCATTTCCACAGGGATTCACCAATTGACTGGTCAATATTAATTTTAAACCTGTGACCAGAGATTTACCAATAATGCTAAAATTTTGGGCCATTTTTTAATTATAACACACACAATTGCGCACACATGTGCACTCCAACTCTACTAAATGAGTTTAAAAACATCAATATTAAATGTGTGTGAATTGTAATATGCCCATTTTCAGGAGTAATCACTGCACAGTTAGAGACTGAGAGGAAAAGAAACTGCATACTAGGGCTGCGCAATCATGACAAAACCATAATTGTTGATTATTTCCCTTGATATTGTAATCACCATTATTAACGTTGGTTAGCAGAATTAAAATTTACCACCAGATATTAGAAACACAATTTTAATTTTAAAAAAGTGCAAAAAAATTTTTGTATGGGGAAATGTCATGTCAAATTCTTCATGTATCTATAAATCCAACACACTTTCTGAATTCCTTTACTGCTGTTTTATGCATCAGTAAATCAAGACAGTGACGTTGCTATTGTCATCACTGTTAACTGTCGCAATTCCAGGAGTGACTCACAGTGTTATATGGAACTATAATTTAGGGGATTCACAACTGCATTTAGACGCGGTTATCACTCAGTAAACTTTGCCGTGTGTATGTGGCTGCTGGGCTCTTACCAGCTTGAAAATACTATATTCAGAATAGATGACATTCAGAAAGTGACCAAAGTGAGCAAAGAATGAGCTCAGTGACGTCTGTTTTCTCACAAAAACTCCTATTGTAATAAATGCAGCCTTCTACACTTCATGATGAATTTCTTATTTACATTGTATCTTTGGTTTTTGTTATGCTGATCACTCATGTGGGAGTCATGATCTTTGACAGTGATGACAAAACTACTCATAACAGTTTTCTACATATATATCTAAATATAAAATGTCAATTTTTGTACTATACAACTTTATAGTATAATGCATTTTTTACATATAGCTTATAAAAGTATCACGGGGCTCAGCTAAGTAATTGGTGTGAGCTTCAAATTTCCTGATTGGTGCACCACTAGTAATTATGATAGGAGTCTAACCACAGCTTAGCACAAAGTGCATAATCACCAGAAAACGTATAAGGTTATTTTAAAACACTTACTGCCTATGACAAAAAAAATTGCTTTTTTTGGCAGCATGCTTTTGCATTAATATTAATATTTTATTTAAAATGAAAAACTGCAATGATATTGTGGAAAGAGAGGTATTTTACTCGCTTGTATGCATCTCACTAGGTGATAGGTCATACATATCCAGTGGAAAAGCACTGAGGAGTGAGAGAGGCAGTTATTTTGCCTGTGGAACTCAAATCAATAACAACCCATCAATATTTTACTTGCCCTCTATTAGTTATCATGCCTCATTGTTACATCACATGATACTGACAGGAGAAACAGACCCATCCGAATAGGGTTATAGTCAAAGACAGTTCTCTGTATTATAACTGCATTGAGAATTTTTATGAAATGTTGTTTGAATAAAAAGTAAATTGTCAATATTGTAAGATAAAATGTGAATAATTTTAAGAGTAGAACCATATTGAAATCCTGCACATTCAGCACAGTATTTGTGACACAGACCTCAGCATGAACCTTAACTCTACACCTGAACTACAGCATTGTAATCAGAGTATGTGAGAAATGTCAGTTTTCTCTCACTCCAAGATCAATCTGAAACTGCTCCAGATTAAAAGCATTTAATGCTAAATGTTATTAGCTAAACGTTAGTGTAAAATGTCATCACAAAGAAAAAAAAAATCAAAACATAAATGCATCTCATTTAACATACTTTTTTTTTTCTTCATTACTTTCACATGGAAAAAATGTAAAGATGGACAATACATCTCTTTGTCCTCTTCCAGATGTGTAGTCAATTAAAAATGTCAAAGAATGATATCATGCCCATACATTCATGATATAAAAATAAAAATTGATATATATTTTTAAATGAATGAAGTGCATCATCTGAGTACTTAAATGTGCAATTTTTCTTTTTGAAATCTTCAGTATGAATACTACTTGTACTACAAAATGGAACAGAATAGTGCATAAGTATGCAAACTGTGATGCACTTTTTCTTTCAAGACTACTGGCTAGGGTTGTGACGGTGAGGAAATTTTCCCACCGGTTAATCGACGTGTGACAACACCGGTAATACCGGTATCACCGTGGGGGCGGGGCGTTCCCTCTTTTCCTCGCTTTCCTTCGCTTTTAAATAGCTTGTAAAAGCGGTGTGCGCATTTTACTTTCACTTTGAAACAGCGGCAATTCGGCGTAAAGCAATTGTTTGTTTTTAGTCCATTTGAATTTTCCCTCTTTTCCTCGCTTTCCGTTGCTTTTAAATAGCTTAAAAGCGCCGTGCGCATTTTATTTTCACTTTTGAATTAGCGGCAGTTCGGCGTCAATTGCTTGAATGCAACAACAAAATACAACGTCAAACTCACTTTAGCCTATATATAAAACATAGAACTTTTATTAACAAAACAAATAAAAATACACCATGCTATATAGTGTCTGTTCTTTTACTGAACTAAATGATTTTTATTTCTATAAAAAATCAAAACGACGGTGGGGGTCGGTGTCGCGGTGGGCAAGCGACTTAACCGGTGTTGCGGCTTAACACTGGTATCACCGTCAGCACTGTCTATCGCGGCAAGCCTACTACTGGCATGTTTACACTTGGCAGGTTTGGTTCGATTAAAATGAACTCTGGTGTGATTGCTCTGTTAGTCCGGTTCATTTGAATAAGTGTGAACGCTGCCATCTGAACTTTAGTGCACACCAAAGAAGCCAACTGAAATATCGATGTGATGCAGACCAAAGACCACAAACAAACCAAAAACAGGACATGATATCACATTTAAAATCTAGGTCTTCAACCCTGCTCCCGGGGACCCACTGTCCTGCAAAGTTTACCTACAGCCCTAATCACACCTGAACCAGCTAATCACGCTCTTCAGCAACCGTTTTGGATGTTTGATAAGTTCCCAAAATATATGTCATAAAAGCAGTCCAAACAGATTGTGACTGTATCCTCATGCCTTTTGTTTTCTATTTTTAGGATCAGTGTTAAAAATGTGTGAACACTAAGAGAATCAGGACTAAATGTACGATTTTATGTTTGTATGTAAATGTATGACTTCTTTTTTTTTTTTTGGTCCGGACCAAAAGAACCAAACTACAAGTGTAAACACACCCTAAGTGAAGACAAGAAAATGAAATACCCAGAGTGGAGCTGGAGCAAAAAGCTATTGCAAAAACAATGCTGTCCAAAGTGATGTCAAATTCACATGCAAATGCAGTTCTGCCGTATACAGCACAGCGCAGATTCTGCAGAAGCCTGTTGTAAAAACAGAATCCTGTAAGAAAACATGAGCTCAGGGGGAATGTGGCCTTGACAGCGGGGATGTTTACTTGTTCTAGCAGCAGGCCTGCACAGTTCTACACTCAGGCCAGCATACACCACATTCCCATGACTAAGAAAAATGTCTTAAACTCTGCTGCAGCCTTGCCTTTAGTCTCGACTTCAGCAGGCTTTCTGAGACCGTGAAACACTTTCTTCTCTTTCCAAACGTCAGGAATCATGTGATAGCCCACTCTCAGAACACAAAAACCAGCAGAAACGCTCATCTCTAAATAAGCTGACATCAGCAATGTCAAGAATGTGTGACACAAAAGAAAGGCCACAGAACACAACAAATCAACACATTTGCGCAAAGCAAATCCTTCATCGGTTAATTTTCCACTATCATTTATTTTTGATGCAGGTATCCCTCGAAAACACAATCCGCTGTACTACTCCCAAAAAGAGATGATTACTAATTAATTAGCAAATGTCCAAGAGGAAGGCAATAATTTCATTATGCGTAGGCCATTAAACCCTGAAGGAGCTGCAGCACACTAAAGCCCTGTCAACTCTAACCCAGTACAGTGTCAAAGACAAAGAAAACGGCCTCGTATGCACTCGTGTGTAATAATGCAATTATGTAGTCTGCTAAACACTGCTTTTTGAAGCTCTGTATCACCATCATATATGTTTGTTTCTATGAAACGACTCCTGCAGGTAATTACAGACCTGAAAAACAAGACAGATAAGGACTGCGTGGCAATGTGGGAAAAAAAAATAGCTTTATTACACTGACACATCACACCGCCACTCCTAAATGTTCTATGTGAGCAATAAGTAGAGATTAAAAAAATGAGTGTGCTTGATTTCGGTCATTGTTATAAGCTTGATGAACTTGTTCACCCTGTAAATTCTCAAATATTAAGTTTTCCTACTCCTAATATATTATAAATCCTAATATTAAGGATACACCATTTGTATTTGTAGATCTGAATCGATAAACATAATTTAATATACAAACTGACTGTTAAGAGAATTCTATTCTTTAAACTGCATCCTGAAATTGAGTGGAAAAACATACTGTCCTTTGAGTTACATACATACATATATATATATATATATAAAGCTGATGAAGAGCAGCGCGAAACATCTGATTCCCCTGCATCCCTGATGATCATATAGACTCAAATTAGCTTTAAAGCTACCAGCTGTTAGCTATCGGTTAGAGTCTATCCCTGAACAGATATGACAGTCATTAAATCACATAAATATAAATGTAAACCTGCCTTTAGCTCAAACATTAACGTTACATTATAATGACAGATGACTGATTTTTAGACAGGTTCCGTGAGCTGGAGGGAAAACTGAGTGAGGTAAAATAGCTCAAGGCTGCTTTTCTTCGGCTCTTACCTCATATTTAATGTATTGTTTCCTCCACTCCGGGGTGATGTGGGCAGACAGGTGCTCGGTAAATTTCATTTTTACGAATATTTCGGTGTGTTTTTTTTTTTTTTCGTCTGAGGAGTCACGCTACTGGAACATTACCAGTGAATCATCGCGAGCTGAAAATCACCCTCAGATTAACGGCTGTTCTTCGCTGCTCCGCGAGACACATATTCAGGGGAAATATTGCGATATTTTCACACAGCCGACGCCGGTGTTCCTCATTATCCCTTCAGGTGTTTTTTCAAGTGCTGCAGGCCGCTGGCAACAACGGTTTAGACGGACGAAGGAGCTCTAGACAGAGGTTTTCTCTGCCTGATATCTGAGGCTGAAGCTCCAGCCGCCGCCATCATTGTCGGAAAATGACGTCACAGAGCATGTTTTCCAGTTGGCGGTATGACCACTCATGCCTCTTAACTAATTACTGTGAATTATAGAAATATGAATTCAAGGGCAGGTTATTCTTAACCTAACAGGCCTAAACGTAAAAGATCGGCTGTGGGGATGAAGACCACAACTCCCATGATTCCACACTCAGTCACAGCGTCATCAAACTGCGCCTTTGTCTATTTGTTTATTTTGAATACGCGCCCTCTAGCGGCCAAAATTACATATTGTGCCTTTAAATGTGAGTTAAATATTGGTAAAAGGATCAAATGTCACGAGACATGTAAATAGCTTACAACATATTCCAACATACTATGATATTTCCCAGATTCCTTTCACTGAGCACAACGAATTATCAACAGAAAGACAGCACAAATACATCATAAGGCAATAATGTTATTCTTTTTCCCAAATGAAGAATCATTTTACGCCAATAAGTCGGCAAATATGAATATTTAATAAACAATGACAACAACAGCAAAATTAACAGAAAGTAATTTTGTAATAGTAATATTAATATAAAGTAATATTTTATATTTATATAGGTCAACATTTATGATTTTCTTATTTTTAATCTACACTGAAAAAGAAGGATTGCTTTAACATTTAGCTGGGCTGTCTAAAAAAAAAAAAAAAAGAAAAAAAAGATTTTCTTAAAAAAAAACACAACACTGGAAGGGCTGAATATGGGGTTTGGAGTTGCTCTGCAGATCAGCATGGAATTAGTCATGGTATTCTATTAGGGTGCTGTGGATCTCCAGGAACGTGGGTCTTTCTTTGGCATTTCTTTTCCAGCAGCTGAGCATGAGGCTGTACACTGAATCAGGACAGCAGTGCGGCTTCGGCAGATAGACCTGAGGAGTTCAAAAACAGCTCAGCACTGACACCCATAGTTTTTTCCAACTTATTACATGGATTTTTCCTGACTCATCTTGCAGTGCTAAATATTCGTTGGCACAGGGGGAAAAATGCATAAATATCTGTCAGTTCAAGAATTTGAAAAATACATTGAAATACTGCAGAAACAAAAGTCCATTTTAAATAAAAAAAAATATTAAGAATAATTGTATATTTATATTTAAACACTAAAATTAATAATAAAATGCTAAATATATGAAATAATAAACTAAAAATAAAACAATTAATACAAATCATTTGAATTGAACATGTTAATTGATTTACAATTACTATGCACAAATAAAAATATGTAGTACATAAACAAATGAACATTAAAATATAATAAAACAATTATAATAAAATAAATATATTAAATAATAAACAATAATTGCCCGGTCCTGCAGATTTGCTTTATACAACATTAGGAAGATCAGGCCCTTTCTTTCAGAACATGCAACACAACTCTGTCCTCATTTGTAAGTCGCTTTGGATAAAAGCGTCTGCTAAATGTAAATGTAAACAAAAATAATGAATACAAATAATTTAATGTGTTAATTAAATTAAACTAGTTGTAATGCACAAATAAAAATATTTAGTACATAAATTAACATTATAATATTAATTAACAAATGTTATCCTTTCTAAAAGTGGGAAATTACATATTTGTCAAGGATAATAGAAGGAAACTGTTATTAAATAATTAAATATAGTGTTACTGAGATTTTTTTTATTCTGGAGGTCTCTGGTATTGATAGATTCTGTAAAGATTGGAAAAGTCCCACTGTGCATAAAAATGATTTACACAGATACTGGTAGACTTGATGAAGTGCTATTATGGCTGCATGCTCAAGTCTCACCTGTTTGTTTAGGTCTCTAAAAAACTCACCCGTGTTTCGATCACCTGTTCATCTGTGAACTGGGCGTATGGCTGCTCTTTGCACAGGGTCAGAATCTCCCACAGGGTCACCCCGAATGCCCACACGTCGCTGGCCATGGTGAACTTACCCTGTAGAAACACAGATGCTCAAACTGATAGAGCAGCACGTGAGTTTGTGGTTCTACAAATTTGACTCCAGAAAGACTTACCAGTAGGATGCTTTCCCAGGATATCCAGCGGATGGGGAGCACTGCTCGTCCCTGTATGCGGTAGTAATCTCCACGATACAGGTTCCGGCTCATGCCGAAGTCGGCGATCTTGATGGTGTTATTTGTGCCTACTAAACAGTTGTGTGTAGCAAGATCACGGTGAACAAAATTCAGGGAGGACAGATACTTCATTCCCGAGGAAATCTGAGAGGCCATGTGGATCCGTATTCTGCAGCTGCAGAGGGAAAAAAAGACATTTACAATATTTTATCCTAAATTTTGGTCTGTTCATCAAACAAAACTATCATATGGCTTCAGAAGACACTGAATATAGCACCCAAGTCCAATAAACAAACTCTTGAGCGGATTGTCTGCTTTTTTTGACTGGTCTATGCAAAAATCAAGGTTTCCTGTTTTGTTCAGTTTGTGTAAAAACAAATAACACTCCCCATAGAAAAAAGTGTTGATTTGCAGAACACATACTGGCTAGTTTTACTGACTGCAGAAATTATTGTGGGATTTATAAATGTTTCTTTTTTTCCCCTTAACAGAAAAGATTACATTAATTTATTATTATATCATCATAAAACATTTTTCATTGTAAAAATAGAAGATAGGGCACACTATATTGAATTAATATTTTTACTGGGGTTTTATCTGTATTTTGAATTTTGCACTTCAACGCTTTGTGTTTTATGATTACTGGAAATTACTGGATAAGGTCCTGGCAGAAAATTACAGTACATTTTTTTTTTATTAATTAATGAAATAATGAATTATTTATAATAATGAATACACATTAAGGTCTTTCAAAGAGAATATTTATGTCTTTATTTATAGTAAGTAAACTAAATTAAACATTGACTAACAAAATGTTCCTATTTTTATCTTATGTGAAAATTCTACTTTCATATTATTGCTAATTTAGCTTTTGTTTATGGTGAAATTAAGTTTCATAAAGCTTCAAAAATATTATATTGACCCACATTAAGTAACATTTTGGCTTGAGTCTAAAAGGAAATACAGTATATTTATTATTTTTATAATAAAAATATAGAAAATAATAATATCATGTTTATAATAAATCAGTTTCAAATAAACTTCTTCGTATGAATGTTTTTGCCTGTGCAAAAAGAAATGAGTTCATTTAATGTTTGAATCAAACCATAAATATAATTAAAAAAAAAAAAAATTGACTGTAACAAATTATTATTATTTATTGATATACCTGATGGTAGCTGAGTCACCAGCTTGAACTCCTTCATTCTACAGCTCATGGCGGGACAGGAACTGATTGAGGTCTCCGTTCTCCATATACTCCGTGATCATGCACAGCGGATCACTCTCAACACACACCGCCAACAGGCGAATGATGTTCGGGTCTCGTAATCGTGAGATGATCCTGATCTCTTTCAAGAAGTCGTTCCTGAAAATGTAGATTTCTTTGAGGAAATTGTAAATTATCCTAAAATGGCTGGACAGCATCTGTAAAGCAAAAAGCAGTGCTTCTCAGCAACAACAGGCACGTATCATTGATTGCGGGACACCTGCACCTGTGTGTTACCTTGCATTTTTGTTTGCGTCCTCTCTTAGAGTCTTAACTGCTACGAGCATTGGCTCATTGCTGATGTCGCCACAATGGTCCTTCATGAACTCCTGCATTCCCTCAGCTTCACACAGATGAACCTGCGGCAGGAACAAACACCTATAACAAATAACTTGTACAAGAATAACTTTTTTTGGTCAAGAGAACTGTTCACCGACTTCTCCAAATTGTCCTTCTCCAAGTTTCTCTTTGAAAGTCAGTCTCTCCCTCGGAAACTCCTCCAGAGCTCCATCCCTTCCTGGAGATAAGGGCATGTTGACCACAGTGACACAGTAACTGGGGGCCCCACCAGCGGCTTCCTGCTGGCTCACGATGTCTGCCTCAGCGTAGTGTGGGGATCATCTGTAGGGTGGGATGTAGAGGGTTCGGAAGAGGCATCGATCATTGCTGTAACACAACCATATCAACATTGGTACAGGGATAGTTCACTCCAAAAAAAAAAAAAATAAATTCTGTCATCATGTCAATCTAAACCTCAGTTCTGTTATTTATTTATTTAATTATGTGGAACAAAAGGATATGACACAGTTTCAGAAGTTTGGGATTGATAAGAGTTTTAAATGTTTTTGAAAGAAGTCTCTTATGCTTACCAAGGCTGCATTTATTTGATAAAAATACAGTAAAAACAATAAAAATGTGAAATATTATTACAATTTAAGTTTTCTATTTTAATACATTTTTAATTGTAATTTATTCCTGTGATGCCAAAGCTGAATTTTCTCCAGTCTTCAGTATCACATGATCTGATGTCTGATTTGGTGCTCAAGAAACATTTCCTATTGTTATCGATGTTGAAAACAGTTGTGAAAAATGTGAAAGATTTTTTTTTTTAGAATGAATTGAAAGTTACAATTATGAGCATTTATTTGAAATAGAAATCTTTTGAATGTCACTTTACTTTACTGTCACTTGTGATCAAGTTTATACGTTCTTGCTAAAAAAAATGTATTTATTTCTTTCCAATAAATAAATAAATAAATAAAATAAAAATAAATGTTACTGGCTTCAAACTTGGTGCAATTTTTGAAAAATCTTATCAGAGCTGTTTGCATAAAACAGCATAAAACTAGTCCATACTCCAAATGTTCTAAAGCTTTGTGTGAAAAAGAGACAACAATATAAGTTGTTATTCATTGATAATGTTCTTCTATGCCGCAATTTTTATATGGTGGCAGGTTTGAGAAAAAATATGTCTGTTGATTGATATCCAGTGTCACATGATACATCGAAAGGAGCCATATTTGAAATTAAAGTTATAGCAGATGAAAAGATTGTCAGTTATTAATACCCTAAATTTCAGGCTGCTCATCAAACAAAGATATTTTATGTGGCCATTTTGGTATTATTTTCTCCTGACAGACTACAAACTACTATAAACTAGGTTTGGAATGACATGAAGATGGGTAAAAATTAATGACAGAATTTTCATTTTAGGCTGAACACACAA